CTTGAATGCCCGGGAGCCCATATGGGTGCTGGTTCTAATCCCAGCAGCTCCACTTCCCATCCAGCTCCCTGCTTGTGGCCTGGGAAAGCAGTCGAGGATGGCCCAAAGCCTTGGGACCCTGCACCCGTGTGGGAGACCTGGAAGAAGCTCTTGGCTCCTGGCTTCAGATTGGCATAGCATTGGCCATTGCGCTCACTTGGGGAGTGAATCATCGGACAGAAGATCTTCCTCTCTGTCTCTCCTCCTCTCTGTATATCTGACTTTCCAATAAGTAAATAAAATCTCTAAAAAAAAAAAAAAAGAAAAGAAATAGTCTAAAAATCGTAACATTGGACATGGCACAGCAGCCTAGTGGCTAAATCCTTGCCTTGTATCTACCAGGATTTCATGTGCCAGTTCATGTCCCAGCAGCCCCACTTCCCATCCAGCTCCCTGCCTATGGCCTAAGAAAGGAGCAGAGGACGACCCAAGACCTTGGATCCCTGCACCCGGATGGGAAACCTGGAAGAAGCTCCTGGCTTCGGATTGGCTCAGCTCTAGCCGTTGTGGTCACTAGGGGAGTGAACCTGCTGACACAAGATTTCTTTGTCTCAACCTTTTCTCCATCTATCTGCCTTTCCAATAAAAAATAAATAAATAAATCTAAAAAAATTGTAAGATGTTCATCATCTGTAACAGAACTAGAAAAAGCAGAAGCAAAATTTATCGTTATCTAAAGCATAAGTCTATTTACGCAGATGACACGCATGCTCACTACAGCAAAGCCAGAATAAAGTCAAGTCAGTAAAACATCCAACGGCCTAAACCTTTCAGAGAACAGGAAAAAAATTATAATGCTCTTTTCAATACTATTAGAGAGAAAATCCAAAATCATATCGCGTATTACCCCCTACATACGATAAGCTAATATATATTGTCACAACTACTTCTTTTGGTTATTCATTGAAATGCAATAACCTAGAACGCATTCTCTATGGATACTGTTGTATTGGACAGCAGTTTTAGTAAATTTATGTTGGAGGACCTGGAGAAGGATCCAATTTGGTTAACCACATCTTTTTTCTACTTCACTACCTAGTACACATTACAATCAGCACCTTTAAAAGAAGGTATAATATGGGCCCAGCACGATAACATAGCGACTAAATCCTCGCCTTGAATGCACCAAGATCCCATATGGATGCCGGTTCTAATCCAGGCAGCCCCTCTTCCCTTCCAGCTCCCTGCTTGTAGGCTGGGAAAGCAGTAGAGGACGGCCCAAAGCCTTGGGACCCTGCACCCGTGTGGGAGACCTGGAAGAAGCTCCTGGCTCCTGCCTTCAGACTGGCTCAGCACCAGCCACTGCACTCACTTGGGGAGTGAACGATCATAGGAACCATAAGAACCCACTTGGGGAGTGAACCATCATATGGGAGATCTTCCTGTCTCTCCAACTCTCTATATATCTGCCTTTCCAATAAAAATAAATAAATCTTTCAAAAAAAAAAAAGGTATAGCATTAACGTACTTGTCCTTCTAACATTTCTCTTGGCAGGCCTGTCCTTTCCTGTTCCGAGCTGTTAGTTCTTCGTATTGAAAGGCTGTGGGATTTGCGCTTCTGCTTTGCTTGGCGAGCAGTTGAACAACTCCCGCTTTCTGTGGGCATTACTTCCAGAAGGTTGAGTCCTTGTCACTCCTGCAATAAGCTAAACAACAGTAAGAAAAACAATTGTATTATACAGCAAACTGAAATTTTAAAAACAACAAGGAAATTATTGCTTTTCATTAAAATTTTCCTTACTATGGTGAACATTTATAACTTGGCATATGGCAAAGCACAATGTTTTCCAGTACACAGCATTGGGGCCTGTTCATTCCGTGGAGGTGGAAGAATAAATCTGCAACAATATAAACGTGCTAATCCTCCCCCCGCAGGGTCAGCATCCCATCTGGGCACCAGTTCTAGTCCTGGTTGTTCCACTTCCCATCCAGCTCCCTGCTTATGGCCTGGGAAAGCAGTGGAGGACAGCTCAAATCCCTGGACCCCTGCACCCGCAGGGAGACCCGGAAGAGGCTCCAGGCTCCTAGCTTGGGACTGATTAGACTCCGGCTGTTTCAGCCAGCAGGTATGAACCAGCGGATGAAAGATCTCTATCTGTCTGAGTCTCTCCTCTCCAGGAATATGCTTTTCAAACAAACAAAACAACAGAGTATATAGTCTTTGTTAAAGGAGATACTTTTTTTTAAAGATTTATTTGTTATTTTTATTGGAAAGGCAGATATACAGAGGTGGTCCCAATGGCTGGAGCTGAGCTGATCTGAAGTCAGGAGCCCGGATCCTCTTCTGGGTCTCCCATGCAGGTGCAGGGTCCCAAGCCTTTGGGCCGTCCTCGACTATATTCCCAGGCCACAAGTAGGGAGCTGGATGGGAAGCAGGCCTGCCGGGATTAGAACCAGTGCCCACATGGGATCCAAGCGCATGCAATGGGAGGACTTTAGTCACTAACCTACCACACCAAGCCCAAAGGGGATAATTTTTTAAACCACATTTCATTAATGTTTTAAAAATCAAAAAGTAAAAGGCCCAGCACGATAGCCTAGCAGCTAAAGTCCTCACCTTGCATGTCCAGGATCCCATATGGGCACCAGCTCTAATTCCGGCAGCTCCATTTCCCATCCAGCTCCCTGCTTGTGGCCTGGGAAAACAGTTGAGGATGGCCCAAAGACTTGGGACCCTGCACCCACATGGGAGACCCAGAAGAGCTCCTGGCTTCAGACTGGTTCAGCTCCAGTTGTTGCAGCCACTTGGGGCGTGAATCATCAGATGGAAGATCTTCCTCTCTGTCTCTCCTCCTCTCTGTATATCTGACTTCCCAATAAAAAGAAATAAATATTTTAAAAAGAAAAAAAAAACAAGCAAGTAAAAGTTTAAAACAAAAAACAACTTTCTAACTTCCCCCAGGTTCCGGGTACTTCGTCAGAGAAAACCAATTCTAATTGTGTGTTCTAAACGAGAGTTCCCAGAATAACACATTCTAAGCGTAATATAATCTAGAGCCAAATATTAACTTCAAATTTTCTAGGGGACACATTTTAAAAAGTTAAATTACTTTCAGTGATTTAATTTAATCCAATGTCTAAAATATTTTATTAGTCAATATAAAAGTTATGGGACATTTTACATTGTTTTAATGATTATGTATTCAAAATTCAGTATTTTAATTTCATCGATCACAAAATCAAACTGCCACAAATGACTTATTTAAGCCTCTAAATAAATATGATTCACCCATTGCGTTAGGATTTTCTAATCATTCATGCAACTTAATCATTCCTCTCTCAATAAATTTCCATATTAATGAGCAATGTTTTAATATACTAACACATTACATCTTCCCTCTCCAATTACAGATTTATCTGTATGAACATTACCTGCTGATTTTTACTATCACTTCTCTTCCTCCAAGTACAGTCCCATTATCAAGTCAGCGCATGCAAATGCGGAGAAGTGTCGCGTGCCTCCCTGAACACAGAATGCATTTCTCCCAAATGCGATGTGAAGGCAGATACAGGGCAGGCACAGCTATGATCACCAAGAACTCAATACGCAGATATTCTCTTGATTTAAACAGGAAAACTGGCCCACACCCCAACATTACGAGGTTGGTTCTACTAAATAAATGTATTAACAGCATGGGAAAATACGCTGACCTTTACAATCATCATGGAGACCAAGTGGGAGTACCTAAATCTGACTTTATGCCTGCTTAGAAAGCCTGCCCCTAAAGGCGAGACCATCCCCTGACCCATCACAGTGCCTCTGTACTTCGTTACCAAATGCTTTACTCACTATCTTAAGATTAATAACATGATAAATAAAATTCCTTACTACTTGGCTGACTAAGAGGCACTGTGATGGTCAGGCCTGGAAGGAAACCAGTAACCCTCGGGGATTCCTTCAGCATCCACCCTGGACTGGAAACATGTCTGCTGATTCGCTCCCCAAGTGACCACA